CCCTATGTTTATCACAGCACTGTTTACAATAGCCAAGAAATGGAAGCAACCTAAGTGTCCATCAGTAGATGAATGGATAAAGAAGATGTGGTACATATACACAATGGAATATTATTCAGCCATAAGAAGAAAACAAATCCTACCATTTGCAACAACATGGATGGAGCTAGAGGGTACTATGCTCAGTATAATAAGCGAGGCAGAGAAAGACAAGTATCAAATGATTTCACTCTTCTGTAGAGTATAAGAACAAAGCAAAAACTGAAGGAACGAAACAGTAGCAGGCTCACAGAACCCAAGAATGGACTAACAGTTACCAAAGGGAAAGGGACTGGGGAGGATGGGTGTGAAGGGAGGGATAAGGGGGCATTACGAATAGCAGACATAATGTAGTGGGGGGCATGGGGAGGGCTGTACAACACAGAGAAGACAAGTAGTGATTCTACAGCATCTTACTATGTTGATGGACAGTGACTGTAATGGGGTATGTGAGGGGAACTTGGTGATGGGGGGAGTCTAGTAAACATAATGTGCCTCATGTAATTGTAGATTAATGATACCAAAAAAAAAAAAAAGCAAGCTTCCTTCTTCATCCATATTCCTCTTCAAGCCTCAACTGAAAAGCTTCTTCTATTGCCTATCCTAATTTTCTCATTCATAAATAACATTTCTCTTCATGACAATTTTTCATGCATCTTTAAAAAATATATTTTCAAATTCTGTTAATTTTCCATAAACTAATGTCATTTAAGACCCTGGGTCTTAGATTAGCCAGCTATCTTTATTTCTATATGCCTCATATTCCCTTCTAAATTAAGTTTCTTGAAGACAAGGACAGTGCTTTACTTATTTTTTGGCCAGTGAGCACATAACTTATGCTCATTATACTCCGATAAATGAAAAAGTCCTCCAACGAAACAGAGGGTTATGCACTGATAGAGGGCACCTGTCTGTAGGCAGCTGGGCATAAAGGGAGACAGTGTGACTGCTGGGAGGGGAAATGGAAAGGCAGAGAAGGGAAAAAATATACATACATCTGTAAAATCATACACTGCATATAATGTAAATATATATACATATTACTTATAAAATGTGTAAGTCATGAACTCATAAGTGTATAATGATTTTGTCATTTTCCCTACAGTAGGTATGGGGTAAAACAAAATAATAAGTCACTGCAAATATATCATATAATCACAGTATATTTAAATAAGACTTATAGATAAAAGCATTCAACTTACAGTATAACAGTATCTTCCCCTCAGGTAATACAAAAAGGGTTCTTCAGGTAAAAATTCAATTGCTTTATCTAGATGTTCCTGAAAGAAAATCCAAAAGAAGTATCATCTCCCAAGTTTCAGGTAGTGTTGAATGGAACTGTGCTTAGTAAATTCAAAGGGCTTTATAATTTTGTGTCATCCCCCTCCTCAATCCCTATCATTACTACAGTTAAGCCTTATCAGTAATCCAATTATTAAAAATTATTATTCTTATCTGGAATGAGAACTGTAACTATGATTAAATAAGGCTACAGATAATGTACAGCCCAATGTCTCTATAAAAATAGCAAATATCCGGGTCACATTTTGGTCTATCCATGACTTGCTTAGCTAACATTTATCAGTTTAGAGGCAAGATTACAAATATGAAATGATTAGGGTATAATGGGGGAAAGGAAGAAGTGGTAGAGGAAAAATTACTCCCTGATATTGTCAGAATGGTTACAGGGAGCTGAAAGCAAAGAACTCTTCACCCGTCCCTATTGACCCTGAGGGCTTATTTATTGAGTTATTATAACTAGAGGCACACTGCAAATGATGTATATGTGCATTAGTTATTTTATTCATCTATCATGGTAAATTTAAGTCCTAGATTGGATTCTGCTCCTCCCACCAAATCTACATGCAGAAAATGTTAACTAATCAGCCCTGGCCATGTTTATGGTATTGGCAAACTCATGACTGAAAGCCTAATTCTCTGTCTTTGAAAGAATGATACTCATTTACAATGAATTCTTACACGACCTAGAATAACATTAATCTTTAATCACCCAAATAGTTTATTATTTTCAGCACAGTACTATTTAAAAACTGTAATTTAAGTAAAAAAGATAAGTTCCTAGAGAATAACATGCTGAGTAATCTGATTTACACCTGTTAGTGAACATATAACTACATGAAGGTATTTTTAATGTCAAAAAATACCTTGAAGCGATGTCCATAGTTGATTTTGTTTTGTAAGCCTTCAAACTCAGACATATAGCCACACAAAACAGCATACCTACAAAGGATAAAAATAGTGGATATGGTGTGAACTTTTAATCAAATACCACAAATATAACACTCAAAAAATATCTCTAAAGCATTCATTAATATTTAACAGAAGTATTCATATAGCTGCCAGTAAATACTTGATATTAACATCAGGCCAGTTTCCTTATCTACAACTGGGGATGCTAATTTCATGTACTTCATATGTATGCTGGGAGGGGAAAATACCTAAAACATGTAATAGCTCAGAATAGTGCTTGGTGCATAGTGAGTTTCAAGAAATGTTATCTGGTGTTATTACTGTCATCAACCTCAAAGTCACAAAGAGGTTCTCAGAAAAAGTCTAGTGACATATGTATTAAAATTGAAAAACATATAGGTCAACAGATCCCTGCTCTTCCTTAATAAAAATATAAATAATAAAAATTTTGTGGCTTCCCTTGACATTTGAAAATAAAAATAAGTATCATGACTAAAAAGAAAGTCAAAGATAACTTGAGAATATGCTTTTCTCAAAAAATTCCCCATATCCTTTAATCTTTCCTTGGAAACACTGCATTACTAGGCTTGGGTTTGCCATGGATTATTTGCCTTTTTTCCCATTGGTAATACAAAATTTATATGTGATTATTTAACTATACATTGTTTGGCAATTTGCTTACTCTAAAAATTGGGAATATATTACTTTTCACATTCAGAGTGTTCCTGTTTGTACAATCTTCAGAGTATTTCAGAGTGTTTCTGCCTGAGGCAAAATATCCATATACTGAAAATATTCATTTCAAGAATAGGTGTTAGTTTTTACTTGAATTGACATAAGTGAAATGAAAAATGTAATTTTTGGTGTTATTTATCTTGGGCATTACTGTGGACAAGCATAACTTTCAAGTACAAAAACGAAGTGAACAATTTTCTTAGTTTGGAACAGTAAGCCCATTCCTGGAAACAAAAGATCACATAATTCATACGACTTATCAGTAAAATGTCCACTGCTCAGTTATGACCTCTTTGACCTCTTAATTTTCAGGTTCTATATGATCAAGGAAATCTGCTACAACAGGAGGAGGAGAGAGGACTAAGTCAACCCATTAAAAGTGATTGATCACAAAGGTATAAAACTAGAAATAAATTGTACAAAGAAAACAAAAAGGCTCACAAACACATGGAGGCTTAACAACACACTCCTAAATAACCA